ATACTGAATAATTCCATCAATGCTTCTCTTTCCATGTAATCACCTCCCAGTAGAACAATTAGAAGTGGGGTGGGTTTTTTTGTTTGGTTGGTTGCTTTTTATCCCTGGACTATGCTTACTTTCCACTCCACCACAAGGGTAAAATCACACTTGCCTTATTCACCTAAGCCCCAGCTGGGAACTGTCCCACAAGACAAGCAGGATTTAGCAGCATGCTGTCATTCTAGCATCTGCAATAAGGAGTTTAGAGAGCAAGAATTCAGCCCTGAGTCAGAGAGGCAAGCAAACAAGGTATAGAGGAAGAAAAGTTGCCCCTCTCCTGCACCTACATCAGATGCAAAACCATAAATACTGGCTGCTTCGGGCAAAAGCCCAAGCTCCAAAATAAGGGCATCTGTGCACCAGCACGTTTCCATTTCCTAGAAATAAGGGGACAGGGAAAGCAATGTCTGAGCTGCAGCACTATGTCACTTGAGGAAACCACACACAGTGAATTTGTTAAAAACAGAGGTGTTTTTTTATTGTGGTATCAGCTACGTGTTTCATTCACAGGTCAGGCCTCTGGGATAGCTGTTGCGCAGACACAGAAATGTGATATTCATCAAGCGTGGCTCCACCATCACCATCATTGGCAAGCCGAGATGGTGCCACCTACCAGCCAAGGGTCACTGCCTCTGCCTGCCTGCTCCTGCACAGCTGCAAGAAACCCAGTTGCCTCTGAATACCCTTCCAGGAGCTGATCAACAGGGGGGCAATCACTGCTCTGGGAAAGTGCCTTCAAATGTCTGCACTGATTGCACTGCTCTTAGAGGAAGACTAGTAACTGTTCCACCCCCAATCAGCCAGCAACAAAACCACCTGAGAACTGATTTATCAGGTAAACTTCTGATCTATGTATACTAGCTACCTATGTCAATTAGTTTTAATTATATCAAGAATAAAAGACCTGTGAACACAAGGGTTTTTTTCAGCTTTGTTTTCTGTAAGAAATTCTCATTTCTCTTGGCACAGCTCAGCTGAATTGCAACACAAGCAATGAACAATCAGCAAAAATAAATATTGTTTGGCAAATGCACTGAGGTATACTCAAAGTTGATTAAGGGAAGAATAATCAAACAAACATCAATATTTAAGACAGCAGAAGGGCTTGAACACTAGAGTTGTTTTACAAATGAAAAATATCCAAGTGTTTCCTCTGCCAGCAATTCCTTTCTAAAACCAGAAAACAATACTTCAATCCATCCTCCCTCCAGCCCTCAAAGTTCCTCCCCAGAAGAAGGCAAGGGTAAAGAAAGATTTCACTGAGTTTTCCTGCATTATTTTGTCCACCTCTAACATCTGTAATCTTATCCATACTTGTAGCTGACTAAACCCAGCTGTACTCTTTTTGATGTCTCTTAAGTAGCAGCATGCACTGATTCTTGGAAAGGAAAGCCTTACAACCTCCTGAACTCATTATCCACCTTCTCAGCTGGGCTCTCATTCAGTGCAGTTTTTCTCCCCTCTTCCCCCCCCCCCTTCCCTTTTTTTTTTTTAACTCAAATATTTAATTAATTTTTGATTCAGCTCTAAAAGCAGCTGAAAAAAAAAATCAGGCTCTGCAAATCAATTACACCCACAATTACCACTCTGGTCACTAGCAGGACCTCAGCACTGCAATTGTATTTGGGTCTCATTAGCTTAACCTGTCAACATCCTCTCCCTTCCAGTACCATGGGCTCCAAAGCCTTGAAAGGCATAAAAGTAAGTACTTCTTACTAAAAAACACATTGGGCTGAAGGTGAAGATGAATACAAAGAGAAGTGCTAGAAGGTGCCCTTTTCACAGCAGCTTTATTAACTTCCTACACAAACCCCAGTAGTGAGCCCTGCTATATACAAGAAAGCAACTAAAACTGAAGTTACAATAAAACCCATCTATGCCAATGCAGGAAGGAAAGCATAGACTAGGGCAGATAAGAATTTTTTTGCCAACCCCCTAAATGGATAAAGGCAGATATTTCAGTGGTGCCGCATGATGTTTTTACGGTATCTTGCGGAACTGGCCATTAACTTTGGTTGAGTACTGCCTCCTAAGGAGGATACCACCATTAGGAGACTTGAAATAGACCAAACAGACTTGAAACTGGGCACTTTCCTCAATTTTCCTCAAGGTCCCATTCAGACAGCATCAGCTGAACCGAAGCAAAGACAATAACCATTAGTCCTTTCAGCAGTACCAAATCACAGCTCTGGAAACCAGGAAAGAAATTCACAGAGCAACTGCTTTCATTTCTCTTATTAACTAGTACAGCAATTTATTCTTGTGAATAATGGACCTTAACACCAGTCCTTTATAAACATGTCCCAAAACAGTCACAATTTACCTTCTAACTGTTCCATAGCAGATGCTGATAAATGAGCCATGTTGCCAAAGGATGTATAAAATCCAACTAGTTTGGGTTCTTTACAGTAAATACTGCCTAGCCACCTATATTAATTGAGAGAGCGAGTACATTATATAAGGAGATTAGACCATGTCATATTTACAGCTTCAGTGTCCCCAGCGAGAGAAACTGCTCAGCTGTTACTGTCAGTGCCTTCTTCAAACAGGAACCCTGCTGACAGGATGATGAATTCAGAACATCGTTGCCAATTAATGATTTGTAGGCAGAAGGGATTTCAATAGTTCCCATATGTTTGTGAGAGCGACTGGGATTTATATTACCTCTAATAAGAGAGTGTAGTCTGCTCTGTCCAGACATGACACTAGAGCTTGGAAAATGTCATATATGCAGGAGACATTTTAATAAACAAAGCCAGGCTCTTCTGGGTTGAAAGAGTTTCCTAAAGCATGGTCATTAATAACCTGCTTATGCTTAAGCAAAAGGAAGCAGGGAGACCGCTTGCAAGATGCAGCCAAGTGATTTACAAACCCAAGGTCAGAGGTTATTTAGGTGTTTGTCTAAGCTACACTGAAGAGTGCCAAGATCATCATTATGTCAGCCAGGAGCACAGAGTGCATTTCCTAAACACCAGTCAGGCCAGTGGGGCAGTAGGAAGAGGCATCTACAAGCACACAGGACGTTTCTTGGTGTTACGGATACTGCCTGTGGGTTGTAAATTTTAACTTCACTGTCCCTCATCCTTATGACTATAACAATACCCAAACAAGTAAGCACTTTACTCACAAAGCTTCAGCATGAATTCCATACACGCTGAGTGCAGACGTTCTGAATGGCCTAAGGCTGAATATCTCCTATGGACTGAGCATCTCCTCAGAGCCAACCAGCAGGAAACACTTGGCACGATGACCTGGGTTAAACACCGGCATACCCAAATGGGGCCCTCAAACAGACTTTGCTGTAGGCACTCAGATCCTAGTGTCCCACTGATTTGGTGATGGACTTTAGGGTTTTCCTACAAATAAGAATTATGGGTTTTAACAGCTCTAGACCAATTAAATTACTTAATGAACTCCTGCCAAGGGTGAAACCTGTAGGTGAAGTATAAGAATATTTTTATCCATAACAAAGCTTATCCTTGTTGATCTATCTGACCCACACCTCTCATCCGACAATGTGGATTTCCTCAGCTTGGGCTAATGTTGATCTTGGCTCCCCTTGTGCAGTATCAAACATCAAGTCTGATTCTTCTCCCCCTTCCCCACAGAAGAAGTATTTTTATTAGCACAGGAAAAGCAAAACCAAGTCAGATTTTGTTGCATGTACTACATCTGCAAAAAAAGAAGACTACCCCCGTTAAAAAGCACACTCCACATGCTGTTTACTAGAGGGTTCTCCAAAACCAATATTACCTACATTTTCTCTCCAAGAAAATTCTTCCTTGAAAAGACTTGAACTTCTGAGGTACAATGTGTGACCAAGTATAAAAGGATCGAGGCCAGTTTTCTTTAGATATGTACGGATCTAGCCTTTGCACCAACACTACAATCATAAATAACAAGTGCCTGGAGTGAGATGAAGAGAAAAATTCAACACCACCTTTGGTTGGAACAGAATCCCTCTGACTTCCCCACAGGTTAGGTACTACTAAGTGGCTGAAGTGCAGGCAGTTAAGACGGGTCTGATAACCAACATATAGTAATTTTTCAAAATGCAAACTGCAGTGAAATGTTGGGGTTGTTTTTTATTCCCTTTCCCCTTCTTTTTAATGTCCAAATCAGCTTTAAGCTACCTGTTACATATTTACAAGAGAAGGGCAGATTTTATAAACCAGCATGTAATACAGCATAAAATGAGATTATACACTCCTTGAGTATGTTGCATTTTAAAAGTATTCTTTTTTTAGGTCTTAAGCTTTAGGTCTCTTGCAAAAAGCCCCTGATGATTCAGGAGACCAGCGTTGCTGACCAGCAACTCGGGAACCTCAGCCAGCTACTTGTGTGAAAACTTCTGCACATATGAAAGCATTTTTGTTGGTAGCTCTTTAGGTTTAACTCTAAACAGCTGAACAGCTTCATATTAAACTGTTTACCAGAGAGGAAAATCAATCACCTCACCACATCAAATCCTCACTCCCCCCCACAGAGTTATAAAGAAAGAAAAACATACTCCTTTAAATATAGAAACAAAATGCATCTTTCATAGGGAGATTAACTTCAAATATTCCCTAGTATAATCCAGAAAAAAGAAATCAAGCTTCTAAAATTCATAAGGAAACCCCAATGCCGAGGAGAAAAGGGTACAGCCTTAGATAACTGATAAAACTGCAATTGGCTCATGGACTCAGCAGTACAGTGCTCCAAACATAAGAGTGGTGTGCCAGATTCTCCTTGTCCACAGCCCTGCAAGCACCAGAAGCACCCATACACAAGTGTCAAGTCCCACTATGTCCAGCCAAGGCCTCTCCCTTCCTGATGGCAAAGTCATTCAAAGAACCTCAGTGGAAGTGAGAACCCGATCCACCACTGTCAACTCAACCAGGCATGAAGGACGTGGAAGAGAAGAAAGCTGAGACCGCACATCACCTCAGCACAGCACCCTTCCTGCAAACCCTTACCTTGGCAGGTATTGTTCTTCTCCTCATACCCTGCCTTGCACAAGCACTTCCCGATGGGCACCAGCCATTCCCCCTCAGCACTGCAGTGCATCTTTGGTGCTTCATCAGTCACTGAATGGTTGACGCAGACGCCTGACACCTCCAGCAGCTGTGAGGAGTCTGCTCCTGTGATGGTGTCAGGAAAGCGGGCCAGGTTGCGGATCACTGATGGGCATTTCTTGTAGTACACACGCACAGAGACCAGGGCAATGCAGGCACCCACATCCTGGAAAGCAAGGTAAAATCCCTTTTTCGTTAAGGGACCAACATCTCTCACCTCTGTGTTTAGCTTCATAACTCTGTCGCCAAGATCTAACTCTGTAAAGCTCTCATCAGCAGCAATGGTGTCAATCTTGATGTACTGGTTTTCTTTGATGTTCCTCCCGTCTTCATCATCTGATTCAAAGTAATACATGTTAAAAGTCTCTTTGCAAGTCCCAAGTCCTCCTGGAAGGCTGTTACAGTCCCTCAGGGTGAATTTGAGCTCTATGAAGATGCGGGATGCCCCTTCATTAGAGATCCAGCTGGTCAGAAGCCAGTTGTTCTGGTTCTGTTCCATTACCTTGCATACTTGGTATGTGTGTATTGGAGCGTAGTTTTCATCCACCTCACCAATTTCTTCCCACTGTATAGAAAGGAAAAGTATTACTGTTTTTAAATGTTACAGCTCCAGCAAAATCTTAGCTAATCCCACCTAAAAGCGCCTTGTCCTTCAGAGGTTCAAGAGGACTTTTAGGGTGAGAAAGAAGTTAACCGGCAGTATTGCATAGTGGAGGCACAATACACTTCTGACAAAGTCAGATAAAAGACCCTTTAGAAATATAAAAGGATGCTGCTTAAAACCTTTTCTTTCAGGTATTTTGGAAGTGGGAAAACATACTTCTGGGTTTGTCCACTAACACTTTATCAGGAAACAAAACAAAAGCAGATGGGGCCATGAGCTGGCCTTTTCCAATGCATCAATATAGGAGAGGAAAAGAAAAAATAACCAAGATCACTATTACGGTTCATCTGTCCCTGCTCCCCCAGGCTGCTTTCTACTACATCCTCAAATCACTGCTGAACACAATGAGAACAACTACATTTCTCCAAGCTATTCTCCCCCACCAAACAGCCTTCCAGAAAATGAGCAGAGTGATATATGAAAGAAATAGGCCTTCGTCCTCCCGAAGTGTGTTAGTCAGAGGAGTTCCTGCTCATATAAGAAGATTACTTCCAGTAAAGGTTACAAGGATCTGCAAATGTACAGCTGTTCAGTGAGCTACACAGGTATTTAAGCAGAGCTCCAGATAACTTCTCACAGCTGTTTGTGGGAATTGTAGCAACTGGTTTTTTTTTCATTTAATTTGGCCATACTCTGAAGTACATCACCTGGAAGAAATGCTTTTCATGATCCAGCACACCACAGTTAGTAGTACCACAATAGTACCTACAATAGAGACACAACATTGTTTCCTCTTTGCTTTTGACAACTGTAGCATCACATTAATGAGATTAGATTAACCCATGTAAGTACAGCAAAGAACTTGGGAGAATTTGTGATGGTTTCAGTTTTTTTCCCTTCTACTTCTGACTTGTTCATCTGCAAGGGCTTAATTTCCAAAGCCTCTTCCATCCTCTGCTCAGCATTGCTGCCTGCATCAAGCAAGTCACAGCACAGAGAAAATGCACAGAGCTTAAATTAAAGGTGCTCCAGTACAAGGTAATAGCTATATTCCAGGATGCACATCTTCTAAGGCTGAATGCCAATTTTTGTCATTGGAAATACAGCCTGACATTAAGTTGAGAGCCTTCTCAACCTAGCTGCCATTACTGCAAAGCTGATGAGAAGGAACACCCTCAGAGACAGCATAATGATAAAGGTTTTTAAGGGAAATGCTGTTCTTAAAATTTAAATAAAAATGGCAGCAACAAGTGGAATGAAAATACAATCTGATACTACAGTCCCAAATGAGTTATAAATACTGCCAGCAGAAAAGTCTTCTCTCTCCTCCCTGACTCAGGATGCGAAAAAGTGGAGACTTTTGCAATTTCAGCAAGACATACCTGGCCGCGATGTGCAGAGTTCACATGCACAGCCAGTCTTCCAAGTGAGGAACCTAACCTGAGGAAGTTTTTGTCATGCTAAGCAGTATCTTAATTTCTAAACTCTTTTTATGTCTCTGGGCTTAAATAGGCCATGATCCTATCATGATTAACATGTACTTGTCACTTCTTCCTTCCTGGTAGTGCCACAGACTTAGCTGGAGATATGCCTGCAGCAAAAGCTAGGCAGATCTGTGCAGGATTCATTCTCCTTACTTAGAGGAGGGGCAATTAACAATTATAAATAGTAGAGCCACTGAGAAAACACATAGGAAGAATATGCAAGATAGCACAAATCAGCAGCTAGCTCCTCTACGTTCCAGCAAATGGGGTAGGTTTAAATATATGAAATTAAAAAGCAGAAAAGCACCATCCTTCAACTACTGTGATTAAGTTGTAAATATGCTGTACACATAAGCTTCCAAGTGGATTTATTTAACATGACACTTTATAAATGCACAGTCTCCTTTTTATCACAGCAGCGATTCTCCATTTGATGAAGATATACCCCATATAGGCCATAACCTTAATGACTTTATACTTTTGCTTTTTCTGGCTGAAGGTCAGAGGATCACCTGAACAATCACACCCATCAACCAGCATATATCAAGAAGTGTTAAACTCCAGCAGGAGGTGGTGAGGGATCGAAATTGCTTAGACCCGTTTTAGCAAGTGGGAATGTGTATAGATAGCCACAAGGTACATAATGTAACTCCACAGATGCTCCCTAAATGTAGAATCTTAGAACAGCTAGGGTTGGAAAGGACCTTAAGATCGTCTAGTTCCAACCCCCTGCCATGGGTTAGAACTCACAGTAAACGTCACCCAAGGCTCTGTGCAGCCTGACCTTAAACACTGCCAGGGATGGAGCAGGGATATGTATTTCTTTCAGAGAACTGACCGTTTGCAGTGACTGTAGTGTTGCAGTAATTAGAGTTAGAGACCTTACTTGAAGGCATATCTAAAAACCTTTCTCTTTAATACTTGCCAGATCATTTATCAAAGACCCAACCGATCATGCTTTCCAGGATTATGAAGTAAAGCTCATTTCCATCACTGCTCCAGAAGTTCTGTTAGTGGGAGCAAGTATAAGAAAGCTCATTTGTTCAGAAACTAAACCCAGTGAATCTAATGGTTGTTTTCACACACTGACAGCACTAAACACTGTGAAAAGGAAGGCCCAAGCATCAACACATCAGCTGAGCTAGTTTAATATTAGCTGCAAGAAATGGCACAGCACCTGACATCTCAGTCTTCAGGATGTGCCACCTTTCCAGCACTGCACCCCGGATCAGAGCAAGTCCTGCCATCACCACCTGCCATCAAACCTAAAGCAATCACCAGGGAGCAAGAGGAAAGGGAGGTGCTAATGAGCTAAGGCAGTTTATCTCTGTATAATCCTCAAGGGAAAGCCAACTTGATTTTATCAGAAGAGCCACTATTGTGCAAAATCTCTGCTCTGTCATTTAATGTTCTCTCCCATCTGCATGTAGGAGTGCATTGTTTCTTTCTCTTCAGCTGGGTCTGCCTCTCTCAAAGACTGCAGGCAGCCTGTCACCCTTCTGCTTTTACATCCCTCCATGACAAGGGGAGAGGGTAAAGAGCCCCTGCCTGGTCCCAGCTTCCCAATCACTATAGACCGCAGACGAGCATTTCAACCAAAGGATTACAAAGTACAGAATGAAATGCAGCACCTTACGGTTACTGAAAAAGAAAACTCACCATATTAAAGAAACAACATCTAGCTGAAAATGTTGGCATAAAAAAAAACTAAGTACAACTGAAAAAATGTGTAATATTATAATTCCTCTCTGCAGAACATATTTGAGACATAAATCAACCCCATCTGTAGGATTAAAACAAAAATGCAACCATTAATTTGGTGCTAAAAGTTTTTTCTATGCCTTTAATAGCCCTAAGAAGGAAAACACAAAAGCATTTCAATGGTCTGATGTTAAATCATTTATAGGAGACCTATTTCTGAATCAGAAATTTCCAGTACAGTACTGCTGGCAAGTTAACAGAGGCTAAAGACTGCACTCTGCTCCATCAATAGGAAGCATGCGATACATAAAGGCTGTCTGCCTATAGAAAGGGCAAAGATATCTCACATCTAACTAAAAATATAAGAGCTAAAAAGCATTCAGTGGAGCAGCCTTGGGTTAAAGGGGCAATTTTAGAACACATTCACCAGCTGTCTGCTACTCAGGTTTGTGTCTAATCTCCAAGATTCCAGGACTGCAATTTGCTAGCACAGCACAGCAAAAGGCTGCTGCCCCAAAACCAAACACTGACAGCAGGGATGAAAATTTCAGAGCTGCTGTTTATTTGGTTTCAAAGGTATTTCTGCAAGAATTTTTGTTACTGGTCTGCATTAACTCACTCTCTTTTGCAGCCACTTAAAGTGGTGCGGATATTTCAAGCTCCCTTCATAATTTCACACATCCTAGCACTGCTGAAAGAGAAATCAGGCATTTAGCAAAATCCTACGATTTTAAAGAGGGAAAGGGAGCTTAAAAGCACTAAGCAAAGGGGTTCCTAAGACTTGCCTGGAACATCCCATGTAGGAATCTCTACCTCCAAGAACCTGCAACCTGCCTCTGGTTCCCACTACCCATTTTACAGGCTCCATGGGTACAAACCTCATCTTCTCCCATTTAATTTTCCACGCCACCATGTAGAGCTGTACAACATATGCAAGTTAATTTAATAATCTGCTGGGAAAAAGATGTACAATTGGAAAAGGATTTATGCATTTGCACTTTTCTTTTGGATAAAGGCAAGACTGGCATAGATATTGAATCCCAGGCTTTGAATGAGCTAGTCACAGAATAGCTAGGGCTGGAAGGGACCTTAAAGATCATCTAGTTTCCTGTAGTAGTGCTTTGGATTGTTCTGACCCACAGCAGAACCTTGCATTTGGCCTTGTTGAACTTCATAAGGTTTGCATTGGCCTTTCAAGGTCCCTGTGGATGGCATCCTTCTCTCCAGTGTGTTGACTGCACCACAGAGCTTGGTGCCATCAGCAGACTTGCTGAGGGTGCACTCAATCTCACTGTCTATGTCGCTGACAAAGATGGTAAACAGCACTGGTCCCAGTACTGACCCCTGAGGAACACCACTCGTCACTTGTCTCCACTTGGACATCGAGCTGTTGACAACTCTGGTTGTGACCATCCAACCAATTCCATACCCACCAAGTGGTCCACCCATTAAATCCATGCCTCTCCAGTTTGGAGACAAGGGTGTTGTGCAGGACAGTATCAAGTCTAGGTAGATTACATTAGTCACTCTTCCCTCATCCACCAATGGGCCAAAACCACCAAATTTGTCAGGCATGATTTGCCCTTAGTAAAGCTATGCTGACTGTCACTAATCACCCTCCTTTTAATGCTAGCGTTTGTTCAGGAGCACTTTGCTCATCCCCACAGACCTCCTGGTGGTTTTGCCTGCCTTCCTCTTTGTTGGGATGTGTTGCTCCTGAGCCTGAAGGAGGAGATCCTTGAATACTATACAGCTTTCCTGAGCCCCTTTTCCCTC